GCGTCGCGCCCGTCTGCGTCTCGTCCGTCCGCGTCGCGTCCGTCCGCGCCGCGTCTGCGTCGTTCGCGGCGTCTGTCCGCGTCGCGTCCGTGCCGTGTCCAGCAGATCTCGCGGCGAGTACCTCTTGCGCGCCTCCGTCGCGGTCATCGCGTGCGGTGCGTAGTCCGCGTCGGCGTGGTCTCCTGTAGTGCCAGTTGGGCTCCACCAGTACTCTGAGGACATCGCCTGTGACGTTGCATTCTGGCGATGCCCGCCACGAGGGCAGTTCCTTAATCGCTTTCTTCAGGGCCTCCATGTCCTGCGTGGCGTAGTCGTGCGCTGCCTGGTTGTCAATGGGCTCCTCCTCGTTCGCGGGTTGACCCATTCCAGCTCAAAAGGAAAATGGCGTTAACGGTACCGTTGGTTGCCGTCGTCGAAGGGGTAGCGCCAGAAGCCTGTGGTCGTTGGCGGTGCTGGGCAGCGATGAAGCACTCGTGCTCGTTCTCCTCCCTTCACGCCCTCTGTCTGGGACTGGCTGATCCACTCGAGCGCCGGGCCTTCTGTTGTAGCGTCTGCCCCGCGGTCCTCTGCACGCGCCCGCAAGTTATCGAGATATGCGGTGTGCGTGGTAGAACTTCCCCACTCGCAATGCATCCCACATCGCCTCCACGCGATCAGAAAGGCGTGCCTCCATGAGCTCCTCCTTGATGCGCTTCATCTGGCGGCTGATTCTGGCAATCTGGAGATTGAGGTTGCCTGCTCGTTCTTCGTGTTCTCGTGCGTGGCGCCTCTGTTGGAGTAGTTGAGATACCTTCGTGCTCTGCGCGAACGTGTTCTGATTGTGTTATGTTGCCCTGGGGGGTTCGTTGACAGCGTGGTCGCAACGTTCGCGATGCACTGCATGACTCCCGCGTTGATCATGTCCACGTTGCCAGCGTATTCCCCCTGCTCGAAGGTCTGCACGTGAGGCTGGAAGGCCTGCTCTACTTGGTTGATGAACTGTTCGCGCTGGTATCCATAGAGCAGCATGGCGTTGCACGCTTCCATGATGGGTTTCGTTCGTCGTTGGCGCCGGTGTATGTGCTCGTAGGAGTGCATGAAAACAGCCGTGAGCGGGAAGTGGTCCTTCGGGGCCACGCATCTGATGTGTTGAAGTCGCCGTCTTTTCCTCCATGCTACCATGCACTCGGTGGTGTTCTGCAACACTGCGGCTGGTACAATGATGTAGTCCCATCTGCGCCTCACATAGTGGTTCACTCCGTAATAGGTGGCGCCCGCCTCAAAATACGTCTTGCGAAGGATGAGCTCGTGTGCCTTGAGAATGGGTTTCAGGATGCCGAAGTTTGTGCCGTCCTTACCACTTTCGCATGGGCCTGCTACCTGTGGTGTGGTTTGATCTTCAGTGCACGTGTTGTTCCAATCCGTGCCGATGATGGGTAAGCATCTCGACGGAATTCTGTTGAGCTGATCGTTGGATCACTGCGTGAGCTCGTTGGCCAGGGCGCGTTGATACGCTGTGGTACCCTTGCCTTTGCCCCTGGTGGGGTAGTACAAAGAGAATATCGCGATGTCTTGTCGTCCTCTCCTGCATCTGATCATCATGCCTCGTCCTTGCAACCTGCCACTGGTCGCCGTCACTCGGGTGATGTACTGGGGTCGGTAGCGTTGCGCATGAAGGCCGATGGCTACACCACAGGCTGGGTTGGACTGCTTCCCGTACCCTGCATGAAGAAAGAAGTGGCACTCAGAACTGGTGCGGTAGGTGCTGCCGTCTCGGGCCATTCGCATGCCCGTCCCCTGCAGCATGATGAAGTCGTGCCTGGAGCACTCATCGCTGATGTCCAGGAGTCTGCCTGGCGCCGCGGCCGTTCGCGGGTTGTAAGTCATCGCCCGCACGAATCGCCAACCGCCGCCGAACCCGCTCCCATCGCCTGCCACCATCACTAGACATGAAGTGAAAAAGGGTGAGCAGGGACAGGCTAGGCTGGAGGCGCTTCAGTCGCAGGCACATGCCTTGCGCCTCAGTGCGACTGAGGATGCCGAGGAGGAGGAGGAGGAGGAGGAGTCCGAGGAGAAGGAGGAGATGAGGGGGAGGAAAGCGGGACAGGACGAACGAAGACAGAAAACAGCGGGAGGGAAACGCAAGGATCGTCACTGTGCTCCTTGACGAACTGGAGAATCAAGGCACAACAGCGGGAAACTAAAGCGACGATCCTGGCTCAGCCTGAATATTTCTATATACGGATATGTTTATATATGGTTGTATGTATGAACTTTGTGCGGCAAAGAAATTCCGGAAGGAATCTCAAATGGATTGCACACGTGGTGATTCTTTCACGTTGTAACCCGCCCTATGCGGCGGCCAGCGGCTGTAACCGCATGGCCAGCCGCCAGGATGTGGGTCGAGCCAGCTCTCCTGGCTGGCCTGGCACGCTCGTTGTCGCGAGCCTCCTTTGGGCGCCGTCTGGGCGGCCTCCCTGGGCGCCGTGGAGGGGCCGGGGTTGGAGCGTTCTTGGGGTCGTTTTGGTGGTTTCTTCCGGCAGCGAGCGAGGGGGGGAAGCGAAAGGGAAAAGGCCTTCCCAGAAGGCGGCGGGGCTTCTCAGAGGCCTTCGCGCCTTCTGGAGGGCTTTTCGTGTCTTCGGGGAAGGCTTACAGTCGAGCCTAGGAGAGAAGAACATCCTTCAAAAACAAGAGACCCTCCGCCGGCCATAATGAAGAGCATTTGAGGATACCCTCCCCCAGGATGTACATCCCACAAGCACGAAGAACATTGTCCTTATACCTCGATCTTATACCTCGGTCCGTCGAGGGGCATCCAAGAGGGTGGCGTCCACGAGGGGGGGGGGGCGCAAACCATGGCAGGCGGCATGTGCGCGGCCCCAGGGGGGGCCGGGGACGTACTGAAACAAGAGCAGGCGCCATGAGATCTGGGGAGATAGCATTGGCCCCCGCCATGATCTCCCCCCCCACCACGCCTAGGTCATCACCCCCCTCTCGCAGAGGCCTCCTGGATGGGGTCGGAGTGGATGGGGTCGGAGAATCCCGCCGCACAGCCGCTGCATCGGCGATGCCTCGGCCAAGCATCGGCCGTGCATCGGCGATGCACCAGCGATGCCTCGTCGACGTCGGCGATGCAGCGGCGACGTCGACGCGAAGCACCGCACAGCGAGCCGCCCAGGCGCTGCCTCGGCGAGGCGGCGCGAGCCGCCCCCTCTGCGAAGGCCCGCCCCCCCCCCCCCCCAAAAAAAAAAACTGATATTGCCACGAACCCAGACCTTGGAGGACAAGTGGGCGTGACTTGCGAGGAAGAGAAAAACGGCGCATGATGCTGCTTCCAATGTTGTCCGTTTGACGCTGCGCCGCTTCAGGGAGCATTATGCTGGTTCCCGTGTTGTCCGTTTGACGCTGTGCCACTTTGTCGGGGCGTCTCCAACCATCTTGGAGCCCTGTTGGGCAGTCTTCGGGCCCTGGAGCGCGGCCATCTCGGGGCCATCTTAGGCAGTCATGGGGCCCTCTTGGGGGCCTCTAGGAGCTTCCTGGAAATCTCTTGGAGGCTCCTTGGGGCCTCTTGAAGGCCTCTTGGAAGCCTCTCAAGGGTCTCCTGGGGGGTTCTCTCGGCGGAGCGCCCATCATGTCGGTCCCTGCCCCCCCTCTGGGGCCCCTCGGCAGGCTCCTGACGGGCCCGTCGACTTGGAGCAGGGCGAGTTGCGACAACGGCAACTCAAGTAGGGGGCCACTTGCGAACCCTACCCCTGCCCCCCACGATTTCTGAGGGGGAAGGGGGGGGTTCACTGAATTCAGGAGCTCCCGAGCGAAGTGAACCCCACCTTCCCCTCAGAACTCGTGGGGCCTCCTCCTCCTCCTCCTCCTCCTCCTCTTCTTCTTCTTCTTCTTCTTCTTCGTCCTCCTCCCCCTCCCCCCTTCTCCTCCTCCTCCTCCTCCTCCTCCTCCTCCTCCTCCTCCTCCTCCTCCTCCTCGCTCCTCCTCCTCTTTCCTCCTCCTCCTCCTCCTTCCTCCTCCTCCTCCTCCTCCTCGCTCCTTGGGCCACTCCTCCCGGGGCCCAGACGCACTGGACTCCCGCGCTGCGCCCTCTTCCGTGGCCACGAGGGCCCCCCCCCCCCCGAAGGGCCACCCGCCGCTGGCCTCGGCCCGCCCTCTGCTCGGAGCACAGCTGCCCTCCGAGGCTGCACCCTCGGCCTCACGACGATTGACGAACCAACAACACACACCCATTCAGTCGGGGCGCTGACCTGAGGAACCCTAAATAAGGAACGAGGTCCCTTGATCCCAAAAGTTAAGCTTCGATTTCCCATCGAAAGCCTCAGGAAAACCCATGCCAAACTGTAAAACAATCAAAGAACACCGAGCCCCTCTCCAACGAGAAGGGTCCTTCTTCAGCGCCCTGACTGTACCCATAGGGGGGTCGGAGAGGGCTGTGGGTGCGTGTTGTCGGATGGGGGTCCCCGTTCGAACGGGAGCGTTCCCCAGGGTCCGACAGCCCGCACCCATACCCATAGCCGGTCCTCCTCCCAACGACCCCCCCTATGGGTATGGGTGTGTGTGCTGTTCGTTCGTCATTGATGCCCTGCTCCCTGCACCCGAGGTCCGATGCAGACTCTAAAATATGAAAACCAAAACGCCACAAACAGAACCTTTTTCCCGCTCCGCGCGGATTTCTCGGATCGGCGCCGGAGGCGCCGCTGCGGGAGCCGCGCGCGGATCCAAGGAACCCGCGCGGAGCGAAAACAGCTCATGCCCATGGCGCTTACCTTCTCCTCCGACCCGGCCTCGGATTTTGTAGGAAGGCACCAACTATACACCAACACCGATCCCGGCCAGGATCGACCTGGGCCCAGGATCGGTGTATACGCCCTCCTGCCATGGGCAGCGTGCATATACACCGATCCTGGGCCTAGGATCGGCCTGGGCTGGATCGGTGCAGGTGTATAGTTGGTGCCCTCCGATTTCGCTGTCCTGCTCCCTTCACCCGAGGTCCAGTGCAGATTCGATGGCGGGGGCGCCCGCGCGGCCCGCGCCCGGCGCCCTGCCCCTACCCGGCAGCCGCGGGGGCAGCCCCGCGCGCGGCGCCGGCGGCGGCTCGGCCTGGACGCGCCCCCGGCCGGCAGCCGCCGGGGTGCCCGCGCTCTCCGCGCGGCTCGCGGCGCTCCCCGGGCTGTCCGCGGGTGGCGTGGGCGGGCGCCGCAGGCCGGAGCGCGGGCGGGCGCCCTCCGCGGCGAGCGTGTGGATGCGCACGTCGGGCGTGGTCGGGCGCCGCTGCGGGGACTGCGCCCCGGAGCTCCCCTGCCAGGAGAGGACAGGCGCCAGGAGCGTTCAACTCTTGGCTCTGGCACTCCGCGCGGGCGCTATTGGAACTGCGCTGGACCCCCCTCCCTGGCGCGCCGAGCGCGCCAGGGGCGGCGCCGGAGGCGCCGCCAGGGGGGCCCCGGCGCCGATCCGAGAAATCCGCGCGGAGCGCCAAACAGTTTATGTTTATGGCGTTTTTTCTTCTCCGACCTGCGACACGCTGGCCTGCCGCTGCTGCTCGTAGGCCTGGTAGCGCCGCAGCAGCTCCCGGATGTCCACGTCCGAGTCCCTGGACGTCATGGCGCCAGAATCCTGGAGGCGGCGCTGCCGGAGGGCCCGCATCGGGTTCCCCGCAAGCGAGTCCCCGCAGGTCAGCGAGCTAGCCGTGTCCTGCGATCCAGTAGGCTCGTCCAGGCGGAAGCCACTGTTGGAGGGAGTGGCAGGCCTGAAGGACAGCGGCACACCCGCCGGAGCCAGCGGGGCCGCAGTCCTTGCCTGCCGCCGATCGGGCATGCTCAGGCTGAACCATGCGCCTTCGCTAGGAGCAGCGGGCCGCGCGGTGAATGCGTGCTGGGCCAGGGATCTGGGCCGCGCCCGCTTCAAGCGTTCAGTGACGAGCTCGTCCTCGTCGGGCTCTCCCGCGTGCCGCCCGCCCGCAAGGCCCACCTGGGTCAGCCCTTCGATCAGGAGGGGATGCCGTGGCCGCAGGGGCGGGATGGCCGACCCGATGCCTTCCCCCGAGCCAGACGGCCTGGAGCCATCCGAAGCATCGTCGTCGGAGAGGTCTGCATCCCCGGGCTCCTCAACAAGTTTGCCGCCCCGACCTGTGCTGTCGCCCAGCCCACGGAGGAAGTCCCTGTCGGCCCCAATGTCGCACTCGGACTCGTCCTCTCCGTTGGGCAGCCTGGCCGACGCGACTCGTGCGCCCTCCAGCTCGGACTCGTGCGCGCCCGCATCGTCGAGGATGGCCAGCTGCGGCAGGAGCTGCAGGACGTCCCCGCGCGAGAGGCCGCCGCTGCGCGAGACCGGATTGCCGCTCAGCGTCACCTCGCGCAGCTGGGGGCACATCCCCAGCACGGAGACCTCTCCCACGTCGGCGACCGCGTTCCCCTCGACGTCCAGCACCTCCAGGAACTCGTGGCCGGCCAGGGGCGACAGGTCCGCCACGTCGTTGAAGGGGATGTAGAGCTCCTTGAGCGCGGGCAGGCACGACGCCGCCCCGCTCAGGTCCTGCAGGCCGCACCTGCTCATCCAGAGCACCTCCAGCCGCGCCAGCGCAATCCCGAGGTCCCGCACGCACAGCACGCTCGAGTCCACGAGCTTCAGCTGCTGCAGGTTGGGCAGGTGCTCCCCGATGGGCTCCAGGCACTGGGCCGCCGAGTCCACCTTCGCCCGGCGCGTGTCACTACTCGCAGAGTGCCTACTCGCAAACGTCCAACAAAAACTGGTTTCCCTCTGTGGAATAGATCGCGTCTCCCACGCGGCGGATCCAGGCCATTTGCGAGTAGTTCCTCTACGAGTGATGAAACGCGCTCGTCGACACCTGGATCTCCAGGGTGCGCACCCGCTCGAGCTCGTCGGTGCCGCATAAGTGGCGGAGGAAGGGGGCGGAGAGGCCCTCCTCCTGCGCGTCGGCCACCTCCTCTGGCAGGCCTGCCTCCGCCACCACCACCACCACCGTGGACCACCCGCACCTCCGATGTCCTGAGCCTCTCGTTGCGCGGACCCCACAGGTCCCGACCCTCTCCCAGGGCCGGCTGCTCATCCCGGGTCGTTGTTTTGGACGGCCCTGGGGCCCAGCGGGGGAAGCGGAACGCCGTGAAAAAAGCCTCCGCTTCGAGCTCCTCGAGACGCTGAAGGTCTGGGAGAGGGGCGGCTGACGCACGGCAGCGCTCAGCTGCTGCGAGGCGCTGGCCGCGCCCAGCAGAGCACCACCGCAGGGCAGCCGCCCCCTCTGGGCCTGCGGCGGCGGCAGCGGCGGCAGCGGGCCCGCGCTCCTCCGCGGCGCGAGCGGCCGCCTGCGCGAGGTCGCAGCGCAGCGGCGGCACCTGCATGGCTGCCATCGGGAGGGGGGTCCACCTGGCGCGCAAGCCCTCGCGGGCACGCCCCACGCCGCGGGCAGACCGGGCAGACCGGGCAGGGCCCCTCGGGCCCGGGCAGGGCGAGGTGCTCCCTCCCTGCAGGTCGAAGAAGGACGAGGATGACATCGGGTGAGGAGATACACAGCCGTGACAACAGTTGCTTCAAGCTGCCATGGTGATGAGTATCATATCCCTCTACATGCTCCTAACATGACATGAGGACTGCGCCATTCAGCGGAGTACTTTCCGATCCGTAACTCTGCTACCCCAAAACCAGATGAGAAACTACTGAGCTCCAGACCCTATGAATTATCGGGCGGGATGCGCCCGCGCGCAGAGTAAAAGAGAATTTCTACTCCGAACTACTCCGCGCTGATGCGCTATCGGAGAAGGCAGATTGGAAGAAACTTTCGTCACGGTGATGTATTGAGAATACCTATACGACCACCCTTCGGGTGATAAGGAGGTTCGGGGGGGGGGGAACCAACGTCTCACTCAATCGGTCTCACTATCGATCTCAGTATCGATCTCACTATCGGTCTCGCTCGATCGATCTCACTTGATCGATCTCACTCGATCTATCTCATTCGATCGATCTCACAATTGATCTCACCATCGATCTCACAATCGATCACACAATCGATATCACACTCGGTCTCAATATCGATCTCACTATCGATATCACAATCGCTGTCACAATCAACGTCATCATCATCATCATCATCATCATCATCATCATCAACATCATCATCATCACCAACATCGTCATCATCACGAGGGCACAGTCATCATCATCATCATCATCATCATCATCATCATCATCATCGTCATCATCATCATCATCATCATAAACAGCATCATCAACGTCAGCACCATCATCGGGACGACCTCATCCTCACCATCACCATCATCATCTCATCATCAACATCATCATCATCATCGGGGCACAGTCATCGTCATCACCATCAGCAGCACCATCATAATCATCATCATAGTCGGGACACCATCATGATCACCATCGTTCTCATCATCAACATTATCATCAACATCGTCATCATCCTCGGGACACCATCATGATCATCGCATCAACATCAACAACATCATCATCATTGGGGCACCATCATCATCATCATCATGAGCAACATCATCATCAACATCGTCATTATCATTGTTATCATCATCGAGACACCATCAGCACCACCATCATCATCATCACAATCATCATCAGCATCGTCATCGGGACACCATAATCATCAACATCATCATCATCATCATCATCATCATCAACACCATTATCGCCGGGACACCAGTTCCATCAACATCATCATCACCAACATCATCGGAATCATCATCATCATCGGGACACCATCATCGTCATCATCATCAAGATAATCATCATGAGCATCATCATCCTCATCATCGGGACACTATCATCATCATCGACACCATCATCAACATCATCATCTTCATCGGGACACCATCATCATCATCATCATCATCATCATCATCATCATCATCATCATCATCATCATCATCATCATCATCATCATCATCATCATAATCATCATCATCATCATCATCATCATCATCATCATCATCATCATCATCATCATCATCTCATCATCATCATCATCCTCGCGGGACACCGCGGGACACCGGCGGGACACCGCGGGACACCGCGGGACACCGCGGGACACCGCGGGACACCGGCGGGACACCGCGGGGCCCCGGCCGCCCGGAAGGGAATCATTTGGTCCGGCCGCGCCTCAGCCACACGGGACACCAGCGGGACACCGGCGGGACACCGCGGGGCCCCAGCCGCCCAGAAGGGAATCATTTGGTCCGGCCGCGCCTCAGCCACAGGAGACTTTCTCTCGCCCGCCCACGCAGCTTCGCCTCGCCCGCACGGCACGCACGAACACGAAACCGAAATCGATTTCCCGGTAGGGGGGCTCTCCGTTCCACTTCGATCTCACCCCCCAACCTCCGATGTGAGATCCAGCGCCTCTGGAGGATGTCTCCGGCGCCGCAGCCATCTCAGAGCGTTCCGGAACACTCTGAGAGCGTCCTGGAACGCTTTGGAACGGCTTCATGCTCGCCCTAGCCCCGTCCGAGCCTGGAAGCAGGCCGCAAACGACTTGACGTGCGGAAGTCACGCAAGTCGACAAGCACTTGCACGCTCGTGCTCGACTGAAGAGGGGCGAGGAGGGAGGGAGGGGGGGGGGGGCGCGAACGCCGTGCGAGTAAACTCGCCTGAATCTGAAGGCAAACAAACTCACTTTTTGGGATGCGTGGGCCCCAGGGTTCCGGACCACCTCTCCTGGGGCCAGTGCTTCGTCATGCGGGTCACTGCTTGACGCTCCCGAGGCCCTGCGAGGGCCCCGGAGGCCGAAAACTTGCCGCTCCAGTTTTTCTGCAGCGTCGGACGACCGCCGAGCACGCGGAACGTGTGTGGCCCTGACTGTTCGTGGCCCTCCCGGGCCACCGCCCAGCAATCGGCGGTGGACAGACCTCCCTTTCGTAAGCCTCCCCTTAGTGAAGACGGCCCGGGACCGAAACCGACGGACCTGCAGACCCGCAAAACTGACGGCCGCGACGCCCCCTCGCGAACCGAAAACGGCCAATTCCTTCATCGACGTGTCAGGGTAGGAGGTCTATCCACCCCCGAAGCAAGCGAGAGCTCGCCTCCCGGAGGGCGGTCCGCGAGAGCGGCCCCATGGCCTGCGCGCCGTGCGGGGCCGTGCTGCCAGGATGCACTGTGTGGGCGTGCTCGGCGGTCGGCAGGCCCCGACCCAGAGATCGAGGGCTCCAAAACGAACAGCTTATGATTGAAACCCGAAAGCCGCTGTTTGAACTACAGTCGAGGCGTTGACCTCAGGAACCCTAAGTAGGGAACGAGGCCCCTTTTTCCATAAGTTCAACCTCGACTTCCCATCGAAAACATGAGGAAAACCTGAGGCAAGCTGTGGAACAATTAAAGAACACCGAGCCCCTCCCCAGCGAGAAGGGTTCCTTCTTCAGCGCCCCGACGGTAGCTCATTCTGGTCTGTTTGAAGTTCGCTTGCTTCGACCCCCCATCGGGGGGGAAAAGTGCGCTTACCCGGAGGCGCGTGCCTACTCCTCCGTCGCTCCCAACAAGATTGGAGCGGCAGGCTTTGGGCCGTGTTCGGCCTCCAGCCCTCGCAGGGCCGGAGGGAGCGTCAAGCAAAACGACCCACAGGACGAAACACCGGCCTCGGGCTTCAGGGGAGGCGGTCCAGATCTCTGGGGCCCACGCATCGAACAAAACATAGGAGCCTGTTTTTCTTCGGATTCAGGCGAGTTTGCTTGCATGGCGTTCGAGCCCCTCCACCCCCCTCGCCCCTCTTCAATCGAACACGAGCGTGCAAGAGCCTTTTGACTTGCGCGATTTCCGCACGTCAAGTCGTTTGCGGCCTGATTCAGGTTCAGCCACCCCCGTCCATGGAAGTAAACATGCCAGAGTCTAGGAAAACCGCTCCAGGCTCGGACGGGGCTAGGACGAGCATGCAGCCGTTCCAGAGCGTTCCAGGACGCTCTCAGAAGTTTTCCAGAACGCTCTGAGATGGCCAGGGCGCCCGAGACATCCTCCAGAGGCGCTGGATCTCAGAGGTTCTCAATGCATCACCATGACGAAAGTTTCTTCCAATCCGCCTTCGCCAGTAGCGCACCAGCGCGGAGTAGCTCGGGGTAGACCTGCAAGTAAACTTGCCAGAGTCCAGGAAAACGGGCCCAAAACGGCCCTGAACGCAACGCCGGCCCCACGCTGGGGAAGCGGTCTGGAGCTCCGGGGGCCCACGCCTCGAGAGAATTGGAGCAGCCGGATGTGTCTGGGGAGGGCAAGACAGGGGGCGGGGCGCAGGGACCACCAGTCAGAGCAGATGGCACACGCGCGCGGGCCCGACCCCTCCACGTCGGCGCTGCTCGGGGGGGCAAGGGCAGGGAACGCGGAGGCCTGGTGGAGCTCCCCCGGGGCCGCGGATGTGGCCGCCATCGGCGCGCCCCTCCGGGCGACTCCGACCGCGGCGTTGCCGATTCGACTGACATCGGCCGAAAAACTGCGCCTGGCGCACCCACCTCCTCCTCCCCCTCTTCCTCCTCCTCCTCCTCCTCCTCCTCCTCCTCCTCCTTCTCGTCCTCCTCCTCCTCGTCCTCCTCCTCCTCCTCCTCCTCCTCCTCCTCCTCCTCCTCCTCCTCCTCCTCCTCCTCCTCCTCCTCTTAGGTGGCATATGCCAGAAAGCCTGCACCCAAAAAGACTGCCATCTCCTGGGAGGCCGAATTTTGCCTCCGCCGGCTTCCGCCGGCGGAGAGCCGCCCGCGTCTTACCTCCTCCGCCGTCCGCCGACCTTCCGCCCTCCGCCGCGGAGGAGGTGGCAGCTCCTTCGATCCTGGAAGGCAAGGGCCCTGTGCCGAACGCCCCGTGCGACGCTGGCAGAGATGGCCGACTGCTCTGCTCTTGCTGATGTCGGGGGCGGTCTTGCAAGAGGGGGGCGTCCGAGAGGGGGGGCGCAAATCATGGCCAGCGGCATGAGAGTGGCCCAGGGGGGTTGCCAGGGACGTAATGAAATAAGAAGAGGCGCCATGACATCTGAGGAAATACCATTGCCCACGCCATGATATCCACCCCCCCCTAACCCCTCTTTGCCGCCCCCGATGCTGCCTTGATGGGTCTCACTGGCCGCCCCCGGGCCCCGGACCCCAGGCCAGTGAAGCACCCTTCAAAAACATGAGGCCCTCGGCCAGCCAAAACGCACAAAGCATCCAAGGGTACCCTCCCGAGGGTGCACGAGATCCAGCAGTCAAGGAGAGCACTACGTAGAGTACCCTCCCCGAGCCGACCTCGACCTTCTGCCTCGGTCCGACTGTATCAGCCTACCCCGACGTGTCCTTAGAACAAGACATGTTCTAAGAACAAAGGCATGGCCTGATGACTTGAGAGCCGCTGTGCAACACCAGTACGGTCGCAGCCCAGCATGTTCCGAGAGCACGCCGTGCAAACCACAAAAGGCCCGGCCGCGGGAGAAGGCTCTCGGTCGGAGTTCGGTGCGCGCTGGGCGGGGGCGAGGGCAGGCGCGGGGTCGCAGGACACAGTGGAGGCCAGTCCACAAGCAACCTTCCACAAGACACCCCAGCCCTGAGACCCCAGGGCGTCCGCTGGATCTGTGGTGTGGGCACGGCACGCTTGCTCCGCAGCAGAGCCATCGAAGCCCAAGAAACCATGGAGGCGGGCAGGGAGTCCCTTGGCATGGGCTTCCACTGCAGGAGGGCCGCGCGCCGCCGTGGTGCTGGCGAGGGGCGCGCGGCGGGGGGGACGGAGGACGGCCCGAGGCACACCCGCCGCCCGGGGCACGGACGCCGACGGGAGGCCACGTGCGCACCCTGCCCCACCACCACAGGGCTTCTTGAGGGGGGGAGGTGGGGCTCCGCTTCGCTCGGGACCTCCCGAAAGAAGTGAGTCCCCCACCTCCCCCCTCGGAGATCGCGGGGTGGTTCTGGGCAGGGTTCGCACGTGGCCTCCTGGCTCCTGGCCGATGTCCTCGGACCCCAGGCATGCAGGAATGCCGGCCCTCGGAGGGCCGGAGGGAGGGGGCCTATGTGCGACATCAGCTGCCAAACGGCTGGCCCCGGAAGCCATCCGAGCCCCACCGTGTTGACGGTCCGCTTCCGCTTCCGCTGGCCCTCTCCGCCGAAGAAGATCCGGCACGATAGAGAGAGGCACGAAGAAGAGTGTCCTCAGGTGCCTTCGAGTTCTCTGTCTTCCCAGACCCCTTCGAGTAATGAACAAATCACGACGGGAGATTTTTCATGAATTTCGGCCCCTGGGGGGCCCTTACCGGGCCTCAGGACCGTCAAAAAACGACTCGGGATGAAACACCGGTCCCGTGGAACGGGTCGAGACCTCGGGGGGTCGACGTTACGAACAAATCATGACCTCGGGGGTCTGTCTGCGGGATTGTGAACCTCCTCCAGGGGGGCCCAAGAGTCTGGATTCTGAGCACTCTGGGGAGCCCCCGAGCGCTCCCGGGGTGCGCCGCGTGGTTCGGAGTTCGCGCCTCGCACGTGCCCCTAAGGCGGCCCCAAGGGCCCAAGGAACCGTCCTGGGGCCACGGGGCTCGGTTGGGGGCCCCTTCGACAGTTTGCTGTTCAGCCTTGGGGACTGGCCCAGGAAGCCCGCACCACTGAAAGCATGAGGCCCTTGCGTGGGGCCGCCTTGTCGATCCGAAGCGCCCATGAAGGGGGTCCCACGAAGCCTGCAAGAACCGCCCGAAGAGAGCCCCCGAGGCCCCCCCGAGAGATCCCACAAACACCACCAGAAAGGCCCCCAGACAGGGGACCGATTGACGGAACAGGCACCCAAAGGGGGCTCACGAAAGGCCTCCAGACACCCACCAGAGGGCTCTTGGAGATGGCCCCCACGAGGCCCCCAGAGGCACCCAGTAGCATAAGAAGACACAACTGCAGAAACATGAACTTTTGGCGCCCCGCGCGGATTTCTTTGGATCCGCGCGGACCCCCCTCCCTGACGCGCGGAGCGCGCCAGGGGCGGCACCGGAGGCGCCGCCCGGGGGTGTTCAGCGCGGATCCAAGAAATCCGCGCGGAGCGCCAAAAGTTCATTGTTACGCAGGTTTTTCTTCTTCGAAGTAGGCCGCTTGTCCGCGGCCGCCCCATTTTCGGCGGTGGACAAACCTCCCTTTAGTAAACCTCCAGGTAGTGAAAACCGCATAGGACCGAAACCGACGGAACCGGACCCGCAAAAATGACGGCCGCGACGCCATCCCGCGAACCGCAAACGGCCAGTTCACGAAGCGACGTGTCAGGGTGGGAGGTCCAGCAACCTCCGAATTTTGCATGCGCGCGGGCACTCGGCGTGCCAGGCTATCGAGTGCCTCCTCCTCCTCCTCCTCCTCCTCCTCCTCCTCCTCCTCCTCCTTCTCTTCCTGTTCCTCCTCCTCCTCCTCCTTTTCCTCCTCCTTTTCCTCCTCCTCCTCCTCCTCCTCCTTCTCGTCCTCCTCCTCGTCCTCGTCCTCCTCCTCCTCCTCCTCCTCCTCCTCCTCCTCCTCCTCACTCGGCGTGCCAGGCTGTCGAGTGCCTCCGGGCCCCTCGCCGAGCAAGTTTCCAGGCGGGGCCTCGGCCAGGGTGCCTTGTGCCCCGCGGGCCCATCGGCGATCCCACTCGCGAGGCGGCCCCCTGAGAGGATCCCCAAGACGGCCACGATTTAGGTCGGGCATATCTGAAGGGGCCCTGGGGCACACAAATAAATAGACACAGATATAATCAAAAACCCTAATAAGGACGCGCGGTAAGGACGCAAGACCCTTGGAAGCCGAAGTTGGGATTTTTGGGGCGGCGGACGACGAAAACCCCAAGGACGCAAGGGTACCCTGACTCACCTCCGTCCTTACCAAGAAAGGACGGAGACGCAAGAGCAAGGAAGAGCAAGGACGCAAGGGTACCCTGAGCAAAGCCGTGCGTCCTGATTCCGGTTTTTTGACTGTAACAGGATTCCCCATATGTTCCCATTTTTTTTGTTTTTTTGTCTTCCCCCCTACATCCCATATTTTTCAATATTTTCTGGGGAATCGACGATCAATTGTGTCAGTGTGTTTTTTCTCGCTCCTGAATGTGCTCCTACAGGGGATTTTGGACGACACATAAAAGATAGCCAAACCATATCCCAAACATGTGCAAAAAAGTAAAAACGAATCGTCCCCTGACTATGTTTTTGACTATGTTTGAATCTTCCTCCTGTAGAGGGACAGGCCCGACTTCAGCCAAGATGGCCCTCCATGGCCTCCAAGACGCTTCCGAGACTGCCAAGAAGGCCCCACGAGGGCTCAAGGATGACCCCAACGCTCCAGAGGCTCCGAAGACGCCCTCCAGACGACCAAAGAGGCCTCCAAGAGGATACCAATACGGTCCGAAAAAGCCCAAATCTTCCTGGCTGGTTTGACAGATTTGTGCGTTGGTGTCCCTTCGGGCTTCCGACGGCCCAAGATGGCCCAATAGGTCCCCAAGATGATCTCCAGACGGCCAAGAGGCCTCCAAAAGGGCCCCAAGACCTCCGAAGAGGTCTTCAAGCCGTCCCCAAGACGGCCCAAAGGTCCTCCGACGGCTCGAAAGCGGCCCAAGAGTATGCTGGCCCGCCTGTGGCCGTCAAGCGGGCGCTGGAGCTGCAGAGCACGGTGGACGACCTGGAGTTCCGCGGTCTGTTGGCGCCGTACGTCCCTGGCTATGCCCGCTCGACAGGACAGCGAGCGGCAGATGCTGTCAGCGGAGAGCCCAGCCCAGCTGAGGAGGCGAACCCAGAGATCCGGGCGTTGCATTTTGTTTTTTCATGCTGGGCGTTTTCGCTTGTTCTCGGGACCCGGGACCCTCACAGATCGATCCAGCTCGAAAAATAGCACAGAAAGATTGGGTCCAGAGCTCCTCGCGTCACTTTTCAAAATGTCGCAATTTGTTCGCCACGTCGGATCTCAGGGAAGGCTGCGCAGCAGGACGCGGGCAGTCGGGGCCCTGGCCGTGGCAGCGGCTGCCAGGCCCACTTGTCCGCCGCGGCAGCCCATAGAGAAAGCGGCAAGGCAGCCCCGAGCGGATCGCCATGCGACCTGCCCTGCCCGCCTGCGGCTCCGAACGCTGCTCCTGACCCCTGGCCGCCTGGAAGCGTGGAGGTGCGTCAGCACCGAAGCGAGCGGTTGGGCTCGAAGCCTGCTGCGCTGCTGCCGTCGGACCTGCCCGTAAGCGTGGCGGTGTCTCGGCACCACAGCGCTCGAGCCCGACGAGTGCGAGGCTCGGGTGCGAGGCGCCCCGCTCGAGCCGCCAGACCCCCTCTCTCTGCCCCGTGCGGCCCACCGGAGGCCCTGCGGAGCGGGGGCCGCTCCGAGGCTCGCGAGCGTGCCGCCCGCACGTGGCCGACGAGCGGCAGAGGTCGCTGAGTGATGGTGAAGATCAGTGGATGCTCCCTGGCCTTAGTGGGCCCTGGAAACGACAAGGCTGTTTTTTTACCGGTTCCGTTTTGCCGTTTTCTTGCCGGTTCCGACGCTGATTTTTTACGGGTTCCGTCGCCGTTTTTTTGACCGGTTCCGGCTCCGGTTCCAATCCTGGAGCCGTTTTTTTGCCGTTTCCGGTCGCAGCTTTTTTTTGCCGCTTCCATCTTCAAGGGGCACTCTCTCGGAAACGGTGAAAAGGCGGCCCTGCCGTCTCCGGGGCCCACGAAGTCCCCGGCACGTGCGCACGTCTGCGCAGCCCTTGCCCTCGGCCTCGCAGAGGGGTCGAAATCCGAGAGCCTCCCCCGTGGTGCTGCGCGCGGGGGGCCTTGTCCTCCGCCCACATGGCCTCGACGCCGCCGCCGGGGAAGGCGATGGACAGGAAGGAGCTCGCCGCCTGGAGGGCGGCAGCTCGCCCTAATCATCCCCCCCCTCCTCCTCCTCCTGCTCCTCCTCCTCCTCCTCCTCCTCCTCCCCCTCCTCCCCTCCTCCTCCTCTCCTCCTGCTCCTTCTCCTCCTCCCCCTCCTCCTCCTCCTTCCCCTCCTCCTCCTCCTCCTCCTCCTCCTCATCCTCCTCCTCCTCCTCGTCCTCCTCCTCCTCCTCTTCCTCCTCCTCCTCCTCCTCCTCCTCCTCCTCCTCCTCTTCCTCCTCCTCCTCTCCTGAGACCCTGGCGCCGCTACTTGCTCGCAACGGGCGCGCTCGCTCCACTTCGGACACCCCAGGGCCCCTCGCGGCTCGGCCCGGGTCCCAAGAAACCCGCAGAAGGATGGGGCCTCTGGAGCGCTCGGGTCGTGGCTTCTCGCGTCGGGCACCTAAAGGTCCGGGGGACGCGGGGGGAGGAGGGATGGGAGGGTACGGAGGCGGGAGGGAGGAGGGGGGGGATTCGGGATCGGAGGTTGGGGGGCGAGATCGCAGTGGAACGGAGACCCCCAACCGGGAAATCGTTTCGTTTCGTGTCGTGTCGTGGGTGCGGGCGAGGCGAAGCTGCGCGGGCGCGCGAGAGGAATGAACCCGCCGTTGCTAGGGCGAAGTCAAGTCAAATGATTCTCCCCCTCCCGCCAGTCCGGCGGTGGCCCGCGGTGTGTGTCCCGTGGTGTCCCGTGGTGTCCCGTGGTGTCCGCCGTTGCTAGGGCGAAGTCAAGACAAATGATTATCCCCCTCCCGCCCGTTCGGCAATGGCTCGCGGTGTCCCGCGGTGTCCCGTGGTGTACCGTGGTCTCCCGTGGTGTCCCGTGGTGGCCCGTTGAGTGAGATCGATCGTGAGATCGACAAGTGTCCCGTGGGGTCCCGTGGAGTGAGATCGATAGTGAGGTCGACAGAGTCGGATGTTGGTTCCCCCCCTCTCCCCCCCTCGCAAACTCTTTGTCACCCGAAGGTGATCGTATATATAGGCATCAAGCCTTGGCGACGACAGGCCCCCTGGAAACTCCCACGGGGCAGAGGATGCCTGCAGGCATCGAGCCTCGGAGCCCTGGGATGCCCACGGGATGCCCCCTCGAAGCGGCCGGGAGGCAGCCTTCGAGGTGGAGGGCCCGCGAACACAAGAGGTCTCGGACCCCTCCTCCCTCCTCCTCCTCCTCCTCCTCCTCCTCCTCCTCCTCCTCCTCCTCCTCCTCCTCCTCCTCCTCCTCCTCCTCCTCCTCCTCCTCCTCCTCCTCCTCCTCGAGGTCTCGGACCCCTCCTCAGGACCAGCTCTGTGCCCCTCGGGAGAGCCCAGGAGGGGGGCGTCCTAGAGGGGTGGGTTGCGCAGCGTTGCCAGAGGCGTGTGCGCGGACGAGGGGCGGACCAGGGGACGTGTCGGAGGCAGAAGGTGGGGGCCACGAACTACAAGGGGAAGTGTCAGGGTCCCCGCCATGACACACCCCCCGCAGACTTTTCCCACGCCCATTGGCCGTCCCCGATCCTCCCGGTCAGCTTGTCGACGGCCCTGGGGCTCGGCGAGGGCCTCTGGAAGCTGAAAGCTGTCAGACATCGGCCGTCGCGATCTTCGTTCGCGACGCGGGGGCATCTGGGCTGGGCCAGGACCGCCTCTGGTGCCCTCCGAGGCGGAGCGCTCGCGCCCCGCACAGCCGCCCTCCCCGGGCTCGCCCGCTCCCGCCGGGCGCCCCTCGCACCTCGCGAGAGGGCCTCGCAGGCGGCGCAGGAGGCCACCCAACGGAGCCACATCACGGCCCTTCGGGGCCACGACGGGTGGGAAGCGGAGCGTGAACTCATCTCCCGGCCACGGCCCGATCGGCGTGGTCGGAGTGGGTACGGAGAGAGCGGGAACGAAGATCAGCAGCAGTTGTGGCCCATTCTGAACTCATCTCCCAGCCACGGCCCGATCGGCGTGGTCGGAATGGGTACGGAGAGAGCGGGGACGAAGATCAGCAGCAGTTGTGGCCCATTCTGAACAAGGCCCGCTGCCGGCATCGCCGCGGACTTGGACCGGTTGAGACCAAAAGTCGCACGCCCAACAGCGGCCGCTGTCGGTTCAGGACAACACTCGCTGGTGGGCATCGTGCCCATCTTTGGAGTCCCGAAACGGTGCGGTGACAGACCGTGCGGTGACCTCGAAATCCCCCAGGACCTCACCGCACGGTCCGTCACCGCACGGCCTTGGGACCCTGGAGGCCCCAGTCGCCCGAGACGTCCTCGGAGAGGGACTCGAATCCCGAAACCGTGCGGTGACCCCGAATCCCCACCGTGGTCACCACCCCGTTTGGGGGCCCCCGACCATCTTCTCTCTACCCACTTTGGGCGCCCCGACCGGGCGCGAGGTGAGCGGGCGCTTGGCCTGCGAGGCCGGCTGGCTATCGTCGGCAACGGCACTCCTGCACAGTGGGGCCACCATACCTTTAAGCTGCCGCCGCGCCGGTGCTGTGGGGTCCATCAAGCAAGCGGCTCGAGTAGAGGAGGAGGAGGAGGAGGAGGAGAGGGAGGAGGAGGAGAAGGAGGAGGAGGAGGAGGAGGAGGAGGAGGAGCAGGAGGAGGAGGAGGAGGAGGGAGGAGGAGGAGGAGGCGGAGGAGGAGCTCTTTCCGAGCTCTTTCGAGCCGCCACGTCGTGGCAACCCGCGCGGCGCTGTCGGCGCGCGCGCGCGGGGGCGCCGCTCTCGGCGCCTCTCAGGCCGCCTCGGTCCTCGGCATCAGGGGGACGTGCCGAGCAACCGAGGGGCCTGCGGGCGGCTCCGCAGCCCAGCCCTCTCTCCGCGGGGCGGGGAGACCACATCTTCTGCCAACAGCTCCGCCACGCGTGGTCCTCACCCGCCCCGCGGGCCGCTCGCCCTCGTCCAGCAGCCGGCGCAGCGCGCCCAGCGGCAGCGGCGGGGCGGCGCTCGCCGCGCGGGCCCCTCTCGCCTCTGGCGGCGGGCGCGCCGCGCGCCGCCTCTCCTCCTCCAGCAGCGCTCGCGAGGCGGCACGGCGTGCGGCCTCAGCTTCGTCACGTTGGTCTGCTGCTGCTGGTGGTGCTGTCGTCGGTGTCGGCGTCGGTGCTGGTGTGGCGGCGGTCGCGTCCAGCAGGCGTCTCACAATCGGCTCCTCAGCTCTTCGTCTTTCGCTTTCTGATCTCCGTGTCCTCTGCTCTCCTCTGTCTCCGCCGTCGGGCCGCGCGCCTGCTGCCTCGCAGCGCGCTTTCGCTCTGGCCGCCGCGGCCCGACGTGCCCTGTCCCGCGTCGCGGGCCCTCGGTCTGCTCCTGCAGCTGGAGGGGCGGGCAGGCTGCTAGGCTCCGCAGGCGTCGTAGCTCTCCTCGTCGCCTCCAGCGCGCCCGCAGTGTAGCCTCGGCACTTCTCCCGCAGACGGCAGGGTGGCTCTTCCCGTTTGTTTCGCCAGGAAACACCACTTGTGCCCCCTGCCGTGTCGACCTCCGTGCTCTGGCTACTGCTGGCCTCTGCAAGCTGCTCCTCGTCGAGGAGGGGGAGGAGGAGGAGGAGGAGGAGGAGGAGGAGGAGGAGGAGGAGGAGGAGGAGGAGGAGGAGGAGGCTTCGTGGGGCGGCGGGAGCACATGGAGGAGCACGGGGAGGCTCTCTCGGCCAGCTGGCGCACGCCGCCCCGTGCGCACCCCGGCGGAGCGCCCCGACGGCGCCCCGCCCCACGCGGGGGGCCCGCCTCGACGGGGTCGGCCGCGGCCGCCAGGCGCGCCTCGAACTCGGAGAAGGGCGCCCGCGAGGCCCGCAGCAGGCTCCTGGCCGGGGGGGGCTGGTCCTGGCCGCGCTCCTCCCCATGTCGCTCCTCCCCTCCCTCGTCGTCCCTGCCGCCCTGCCTCCCCCCCTCCCTCGCCCCTCCCTCCCCTCGTCCCTCCCTGCTGCCTCCCTCCCTCGCCCCTCCCTCCCTCCTCCCGTTGTCGTCCCCGCTGCCTCCTCCTCCTCTCTCGGGGCTCTCGGAGGCGACCTTGGGGCAATCAATGTTGGGAAAACATTGGGGGCCCGCATGGCCCCGTGGGCCCGCTTAGCGGCTCGGAAACCTTCGGGGAAATCCATTAATTGTGTCTCTCGGGTGCTCTGGGGCGCTCGGGACTTCAACCTCCCTGGCCGGTGCACGAGTTGTGCCGAATCAGCGTTTGATGCTTGGTTGCCGGGCTGTTGAAGCACGACCGAATCCTCATCCCTGTCCTGCTCGATCGTATTGCCAGGGTCCTGCTGCCGTCCAAAGGGTCAAAAGTCTGAGCCTGGTCGGAGCCTGAGCCCATTCGGAGGCCGAGTGGGCATCCGAAGGGGCTCTATTCTGGCAGGGCGTCGGACACTGGGCTCGCTCGGCAGCCAAGTGGGCACCCCTGGCCAGGGGTAGTGCTGCTACTCCTCCTCCAGCATCAACGCGGCTGTGAAGTGTTTCCATGCTCCTTAGGTGATGGGCTGGCCCCCTGGAAGGGCCAGGCCATGAAGTCATATTATGCTAGACTGCTGTCTTGTGTTGTGTGTATGGGTTGCATGTTGTCTGTTGCTTCTCCACTCCTGTCTCCACTTGACTGTCCATCGGAAGCACGGGGCGCAAACGAAACTAGAACATTGCGGCCGCAGTACCCTAAGCAACATAATAAGCAAGGAGAAGTGGGCATGCTCTTTACTCCGCAGAAGGGAGAACATGCGCTGGAATATACGGGTGACCATCTGGGAATCCATACGGACCAAACTATGGTGAGCATGCGAGAGAAGCCCTGCAGGAGATCATATAGGACACAATTCGGGAGGTCGTGCGGGGGACCATGCACAAGGCCATACGAGAGAACTTACAGACCCACTGGAAGACCGCACGAAAGACCATCCGAGAGACCAGCAGCGAGACCACACGGAAGACCAGACGGAAGACCTCACGGGAGACCATGTCTCGGAAGCTGGGCCAGGGCTGCTGAAACCGTGGCTGCTACGACGGCCCTCCCGGAAGGAGAAAAGCAACTCTCCCCGGAAGGAGGCGCGGCACGCGCGAGACAGCCCACGGGCTTCTCCCCGGAAGGACGAAGACAACTTCCCGGAGGTCGCTTCTAGCAGCCACGGACTTCCCAGACCCCCGACGTCGTGAATTTTTCATGACGTCGACCCCTTCCCCGGGACCGGTTTTTCGTCCTGAGTCGTTTGTTGACGGTCCCGAGGGCCGGTGTGGGCCCCCAGAGGCCAGAAATAATGAAAAACCTCCCGTCGTGATTTTTTCATGACTCGAGGGGGTCTGGGTTAGCAGCCCCTGCCCGGCTTCCGAGTGTCGGGGGAGACCATTCGGGACATACCGTGCGGGGGACGGCCTCAGAGACCCTCCGGGAGGCATCTCGTGCGGGAGACCCTGCGGGCCGGAGGCCCCGCCCCAGGACGATACCGCGGACGAGCGCACGGCAGGCCATGCGCGGGAGACCGTACCTCGGGAGATCGTTCGAGGGGCCGACGCGGGAGACCGGAGGAGGAGGAGGAGGAGGAGGAGGAGGAGGAGGAGGAGGAGGAGGAGGAGGAGGAGGAGGAGGAGGAGGAGGAGGAGGCCATGCGGGAGCCAACACGGGAGCCAGTCCAGGGAGACAGTACGGGGGAGGCCACCCGGCGACAGACCGTGCGGGAGGCCACAGAGGCGGCGAGCGGGGGGGGGGGTAAGCGACGAGAAGGGGGCGGGCCTTCGCAGAAGGCTCGGTGAAGTCCCCCGGGGCCTTCTGAGAGGTTCTCTATAGGCCCTCCCCGAAG